TACGATAATGATTGACGTTCGTATCACGAGCACAAATATCGGTAGGTGCATGATATGAGACCATTAAGATGTGATAATAAGCTATTATATAAACAAATGTAGTATCTATTGCTAATTATCAACGTATCTATTATATAGTAATGGTGGATTAGGGCGCGTTTGATTGCATTCGAACTTCTAACGTGTAATATTTTTCTCTAGAAGTTAGGTCTTACAGGTGCTTGCTGATAGTATACGCACTAAGTATTTGGAAGACCAGAGAGAGGAGTTTCATCATCATCATCAACAGCCTATAAATGCCCACTGCTGAGCAAAGCCTCTTCTCGCACGAAGAAGGTTTGAGCATTACAAACTTATGATTAGAAATTATAAGTCCAGGTTGCCTCACGATGTTTTCCTTCACCGTTTGTCAATGGTGTCTAAATAACCTTAGAAAGTACACATAACTGGGAAAAGTCACATTGGTACTTTATGTTGGTAGGTTTCGAACTCGCACGCTCATGCATGAGAAGCGGGCGTCTTAAACCTCAGAGTCACTACGACATTACGAGACACGACACGACACGACGAGCGAAGTTTAATGGTACAAAATAAAGATTTTTTTTTATTTATTTTTTTAAAAACTACTAGCTTTTACCCGCGGTTTCGCTCGCGTCACAAAAGGATATAAGCCAACGTGACATATACCAGTACACACAGCGTTATCTATACCAATAATTTCATTTTCCTTCGAAAATATCAAATTTTTCCGAGATAAAAAGTACCCTAGTATTTAATCCAGACTTCTAACTTTACGTCTGCAAAATTTCAAAGCAAAAGGTTTAGTAGTTACGGCGTGAAAGTGGAACAAACAAACAAACTCACTTTCACAGAGGGGTAACTAGTAGAGCTTTTTCTCAGTATATTCACGTGAGTAACCCGCGTTTTTACTTAATTTAGTATGTCTCACGATAGTTATTATAAAAACTTTAACGATAAGTATTATTATATTTCATTGAATTGTATAAACACTCCAAATTATCGCCTAAACAATGTACTGGGTCTGATAACGTAAGCCCCATTTTTAGTAACATTATAACAAAGACACACCTACCTAAAAATCAGTGTTGTAATGAAAAAATCTCAATTCTGTTGGTCAAGGTTTGAACGCAGCTCTATATGGAGTAGAGCAGCGAGTTAGTTAATCAATATCGGTTGGGATTAAACTCGTTCAGTTTGGTATAAGGCAGTATGCTATCGTATCGTCGCATACAATCGCTTAATAGGACGCGTGGCACCCAGACTCATAATAATATCACGTTATGTGCTTAATTAATAAATTATAATTAATAAGAATTGCTTGCGTTGATTTAATGATACCATTTATGCGTAAGTTTCTGCTTGATGAACTGTATTTTGATGATGAAGCGGAGTGTTCGTATTGCAATAGGCTAGTTTCCTGTGCCTATCCGACTCGATGTGCAGGAGAAGGAACGGGGTGGTTTTTAGTCAGTAAGAGTCTGACACTCCCTCCCGCCTCACCCAGGCGGGAGCAGTCATTCGATGATTTTCCCCCCTTAAAAAAAGGCTAGTTTCCTAAATTTTATTTGAATGCCGGTCTGGTAGATTATTTTAAAGCATTAGACACGTCATTTTTCTTTTCTCCCAAATTTGAATGCTTTCGACGATATATTGATTTCAAATGTCGTGTGACGTCACAGCGTGTTATAAAATGTAGCACATTGTGACGTAACGACCTCAACTCCTAAACTTAACTCCATTTTATCTAAGTATTGTAACTTTATACGAGAAAATAAAATAATACGTGTCTAATAATTTTTTATTACCTAACTGACGGACTAATTAGAATTTTAATTTTCTTACCCTGGAAACTACCTGGAAACTACTACAACATGAGTTTTAGGTATTGAGATTTTAGAGGCACTAAGCTCTTCTAAATAGACCAAACACCGTATAGGTATTACCTACGTCTGAAATGGTGTGAACATGTTGTGATAAGTTGAGATGTCAAATCCCACAATATCAAACGAAAGTCACAACCCTTTTTTCACTAGAGTCTTGATGGAAAATTGAATCGTTGTTTCCAAAACCTGTTTACAAGAATACTTCTTACGAATTTATTCAGGAGAATTACTGTGTGTAATGTCTATTTTATTAGATTGAATATCTTTATTATTTATTTATAATGTTTGTTTTTTTAATTTCTTCTGTTGTTATTTATATATAGAGCTATAGAGCAAAAAGATATATAGAGCTAAATTCTTTAAAGGAGAAAATTTCAATTGTATTCCATTCAAAGGTATCGGTGAAATATGTATTACGTAGAATATGTAGGTAAGTTAAAAATATGATCTTCTTCTCGATCGCTTGCTTCATTTCTGAAGGTCGTGCCCCCGAAAGGCTTTCATTGCTCTGTGTTATTTCCTTCCATCTTCTCCTGTTTTCGGCTTCTCTCAGGGCTTTCGTAACAGAGAGGCCAGTGTAGTTGGTAACTTGGTCACCATCGGCTAGGTGGTAAAAATTTGATATCGGTGGTTAAATACTATCTATATATAATCGTCCTGTTTATGGCACATAGAATCACGAGACCCAATCACTATTTAAACAATATATACATATACGAGTCGCACGTGCCGCAACAAATTGGTCCAAAAGCCACGTGAACTGCGAAAACAAATGACAATATTTGACCAATCAAGTTCAACGCCTTTGTTACGACTCAAGATTAATTTAATGATTTCATTGTTATCAAAACTTTTTGGTACATTTACGTATGTAAATAGATACATACCCCGAAGGGGTTGACAGAGGTGCACATTGCAGCACTTAATGCCACTGTACAGTGTAACACCCACTTTTCACTATTTATGTTATGAGTCCCATGTAATAGGTGGTGAGCCTATTGCCATATACCGGGCACAATTCCAGACTCCGTGCTACTACTGAGATTTTTAAAAACCCAATAATACTTTGCTCAGCTCGGAAATCGAACCCGAGAGCCTTTGGCCATCGAGGCAGTCGAAACTATGAAACTACGTATTTATATTACTTGTATTATACATATTCTGTTTTTTCAACATAAATGTATGTAATATCATCGCTTTTATCTGATGATATGAAACTTAAAAACAGCTGAAGTTATACATAAGACCTATATAATTTTGGTTTAAACGCTTGGTGCTCGCTATAAAAAGTATTTTAAAATCAGTTTTAACAATGATTAAGTACTTGATTAACATCAGTACAAAGTTTATAGCAACGATCTGAGGTGGCACTTGCTTAAGCGGATACGTCAGGCGGTTTAATATACTTAAACATTATATAGTTGTATATCCATTGTATTTCTTTTGGTATCCATGGGGTAGATTAAAAAGTATGAGGTACTCCAATTTATTCAAATTTTGTATGAATCACACGTATTAAGGATTCACTGTACAGTCGGGCACAATATTAGCATTTAGACTTTCAACAATACGGCGCGTGCGCATCGCGTTCCGCGCGCGCCTCGAAGAGCCATCAGACCACCACGGATGGGGCCCAACAAGGCTGATGCCGATTCGGAATCGCGGAGAACCTAACGGGTTACCGGGGCTCCGGCTCGACGTGCAAGAGAAGGAACGGGGTGGTTTTTAGTCAGTAAGAGTCTGACACTCCCTCCCGCCTTACCCAGGCGGGAGTAGTCATTCGATGATTTTCCTCCCTTAAAAAAAAAGAAAAAAAGGCTTTCAACGATTGATAAAAACAAGATAAAGTCAAGTCGTTCCGGAATTGAGCCCGAAGACCCTTGTTTGGCATCCATCGTTTTTATTTTAATATCTTCATTTATTTAGAGGCTTTTATCCATAGTTGTGACCACAGAACTCATCGAGGCCGTACATCTTTATACAAGAGATATAATAAGAAGTCATAATTTATGAATAAGCACTTATAGATATTTATCGAAGGGTAAAAGTACAGAAGTATTATATTTATTGTTATATTGTGGGCAATAATTGTTGATTCGATAATCGCAACATGTCAAGGGCACCTATACTATAAATAGGTTTACTTTTTACCTATAAATTTGCTATTTTGTATGGAAAAAGTAAACGATTTTTTTCATGTATTTTTATATGTATTAATCGAAGTAATTACCCATGCAATCAATGCATCTTTGACAACACAGTGGCAGTGTATAGTTTATTGATGCCCTTTTTAAAGAAATTAGCTGGACTGTAGGCAACAAATTCTTTAAAGGCATTTTGTACTGCCAAAATTGGTAGTCTGTAGGCTCAAGGTCTGGTGAGTAGGGCGAATCACGGAGAGCTAAATACCCCAGTTCTTACAATTTGGAGACCGTCTGCTGTGCAGTCGATAACGTATCGATGATGACGAAAAAGATTGAAATGCGACGAAAATGTAACACCAATCAATAAACAAAATAATTATTAATTTTAGAGAAAAATATCGTTTTATCGTTTGAAATTATAACTCTTAGCCAAACAAAAATTACTTACTACAGTACTTACTGTCGAATGGCAATTTCATAGGTAAAGACCTAATGATTTTATTACTTCTGGGTCCCTAAATTTAAATTTATTATTAAAGTTTGTTATAATTTGGAACGCTATGCTACCTCATTGCTCGAGAGTCTGACGGAGCAATTTCTGTACAATTTCGCCTTATATTCCAAAATATTATATAGTTATTCATCTCAAGGGTGGACAGAGGAGCACTTGTTGTGCGAAAATGACAACAATGTTTCCCATATTAGTTGTCACAGATCACATAGGTAAGTTTACCTATAAGTAGCTTACGTGAGTCACATGAAACCAGTTCTTGAAGTAAATAGTAAACGGTTTAAAAATAAATGAACAACTTACATTATTTACAATGATACACAATTCTTAAATACGAGTATCTTCAATGAGACACATTTGTAATTGTATGTTGTATAATAATTGCTTCTGATACACGACTATAAGCCATTTATGATGGCTCAGTACACAAACAATCGTCAATAAAACAGCTTGTGTTTACGATCCTAAATATTAATTTATCAAAATCAGCTGTGGATATTATGACCAACGCGATAAATAATACGTTTAGAGTGAATTTTTTTAAGATATGTGGGGTTTCGTTGTTAAATGTCAGGCTATGGCTGTATAGTGTAGCATTCGTGCATCTTATAGTTACAGCTATTGTGACCTTAAGCATAGATGTCACTGTCGACGAGGATCCTTCAGTCAGAGCCTATCATCATGTGCGATGGAAACTCATCACCTGCTGGTTTAATGTAAATATAACTATATACAATTATTCGGTACACATATGTGTATGAGACTAGTTACTGCAATAATTTATGTCCTTAAAGCTGTTATTCGGTTCACAGCTATAAATTAGTCTCTAGTTGAAGTCTCTTGTTGATGTATTAGTATTATTTGTGGATGTGCTTGTATATAAGTGTCTGGTTCAAGGAGTTACTGTGTGCCTAGCACGAATAACTATCGCATTCGTAACGTAATAGTATCGAGACGTCGAAACGTCATGTGACGAAAACGGAATGTCGCAGCACGAAACCTATCGTATCGTCTTTCGAGAGCTCGAATCAAATTCGTTAGTGACGTCATGCTGATGTAAAATAGAGAAGCACCCAAGTGAACGAATTGAATGCATAATGATTACGTCTGAAAACTAAACCATTTTTGAAATATTTTTTTACCTTGTCTGCACGATTAAGGCTTTGATATTTTGTTAAGATATATTGGTTAAGCAAAAAAGGTGAAGAATGGAGTTTGTGGTTATGTAAAATGACATAATCGTATTACTACAACCAAAAGAGGTACTAGTTAAGTTTTGTAATTTCATAAAATATTTTACAATTTCCGAACGTCGTGTTTGACAGAGGTCAAATGCCATTATGTCAAGTTATTTGTTTGTTTATACGTTTATTAAGATTTCTATTTTAATTAATATAAAAGAACTCAATTCTAATGCAAAATAAGGGTGGAGTTAATGGAAAGTATCGTAAGTAAAAATTTCAACATAAAATACGCGCGAAAAACAATATAAGGCTGCAATATTGCTTTTCGTAGTCGGGTTATTATTGTTTTAATTAGTTTCTCTTCATTGTGTTTGACCTAATATGCATTGTAATGCCTATTCCAGGATTCCAGGAGTTTGTCTAAGCCAGCTTTTCAACCCCACAAACTACTTCTACTCCATTAGAGAATGAATAGACCAGCAAAGAAGACTAAACTTGAACTGACGAAATTGTTCTTGCAACTTGATAATAAACAAGTGATGATGCTGGGAAGTGTGAGAAAAGATAATGAAATATAATGGTGCTGACATGGTGCTCCTATACGTGTCTTCATGTGGAATACAATGAAACAAATTAAACATGTACAACATTATAGTACTAGATTTAATTTTTTTCTTGAATCTCTTTGTACAATAAAATTTGTCTTTAAATACATACAGTCTATCTCTTATGAAATATACCTACTTAGTAACATATTGACAGAATATTTGCTAAATATAAATTATACTGATTTATGATAAAGTGATGACTTGAAACAAAAGTTGCATAAACCTAGTTCAAGCAATGAAAATTCTGTTTACACAATTCACTTTAAATATAAGTTTCCTTTATTAAGATCTAAGTAATTTATGATAACATTAAATACCTAGCCCGGTGAAGGATTTCTATACATTGGACAGTCGAAATTGCGTTATAGCTAACTTGTACTAAGCTATCTCCTCTATCTATCCTATCTTATATAATGCATGTTCAAAGAAAGATAAGTATATGAGGCATATAAAAGTTTATAGTGCTTGAGGTTTGGGCATATCAAAAAATATGGCAAAAATTTGTAACACAACTAAGCTGTTATTGCTATTAGCACAATTTTCGGTGGCGTAGTGGAGTATGTTCCTTGCACTTACAACACCATCGGTTTTTCAATCGTCCAAAAGTATTGTTAATGGTTATCCATCCACGACGACAAACTTAACAACGAGTGGCATTCTCTGCATCATTATTGCCATGTTTCCCGAAAACATTGATGTTGATGAATCATTTCATACGCACACTACTCGTTTTAGTTCATTTTAATTTATAATTGTCACAAAATCTTAATTTTAAAATGTTTCGAAACCTTTCTCACCGGCAAATTCTAAGTGACAAATGTTTTGACAGTTTTCGATAGCCAGCCTTCGAAATTTACGTTACCGTTTGTCAAAAGATCGTTCGTGCTTCCAATTTGTGTCAAAATGTTCTAAGTTTCGATAGCAACACGATACGATTACGACACGATAGTTGTCAAAATCATTCGTGCTTGCGTCGTGTAGTTCCTTTTACGCACGGTAGGGGCGCTGTACAAATCCCATAGAAAATGCTTTCGATGTCGATACGAATACTTTCTCGATAGTTTTCGTGCTAGCCACTCTGATAGGTTTAGGTTAGGTAATTACTGATTACTGAATTACTAATTATGATATTTTTCAGTAGTTCTTGTCGAATGAACCATAAACAAATACATAATCTATTCTATATAGGTATATAAAATGAATCTCTTTTTCCCTTAGTCACGGCATCACGCGTGAATGACTGAACCGATTTCTATAATTCTTTTTTTGTTGTATTTGTTTTTATTAGGAGAAGGTTCTTAAGACAGACGAAATCCTAAAACTCCTACCGGAATGAGAGAAAACGGAATTGCGCGTACGAAGTCGCGGGCAGAAGCTATTAAGAAATAAATTAAAAAAACTATATCCCGACTACGAAAAAAATATGCTCTAAAAAGTATCAATACCCGGTAAACTTTCTTATTTCAAAACTTTATAACTACTGTAATACAGCATTTATCGTCTGTTAATAAATAATGATCTAATATAGTTATATAATTTAAAAAAATATATATACTTAATCATAGTGATGTTAGAGGACAGCTATGGTTGTATTCGTATGCCACATTGCTCTATAGTACTTAACCCGTTGAAATCCACCCCCTAAATTTGGTCATACAAAAATAGTCTCTAAACATTACAAATAATGTTTATAATGTAATGTAATATTAGTGGAAAGCGGTCACCGGTGACCGCTTGGTAATTTATGGGATTAAACTGTCAAACACCAAGCGGTCACCGGTGACCGCAACCTATTGTTCTATAATTGTGTCTACAAAACCGGTACTCGACGAGTTAATGGCAGCCCTAAGTAAGGTCAACTAAGTATAGTTCATTATTTCCTTTGCAGTTGATAACCTTAGCCTACCTGCCTCTCTGCCTGTACTGCGATTGGTGTGAGAAGCGAGAGAAGGAGCCTCCTCACGTTGCAAAGCTGAGGGTGCTCCGTGACGTCATCATGACATCTATCTTGATGCCTACCACTACTGTGAGTTGAAGTGCGCTTAGTCTCTTAGACTGGGTAGTTAGTGTGGAATTTCGTATAAGGCTTAGCACTCAACACAAATCAAGATTTGTATTGTAACTTTCGTGAGACATACTAAATTAATTATTAGTTATACCATATATATGTATCAGCGCGACAGTCGAGGCGTCGCGGGTCGCGAAATGCTGCTCATTAATTAGAGCCTCTAGCGTGGCTTGAAACTAGTCGAGTTCCTCGTCAAATTATTACGTGAGTAAGCCGAAAACATAATAATTTACAAATCATGATGGTTGCATATCTTGCACACTTATTTTAAACATAACATCACGCATTTTATCCCCGAAGGGGTAGGCAGAGGTTCACATTATCTACGGCATTTAAGGCCACTGTACAATGTAACACCTACTTTTCACTATTTATGTTATGAGTCCCATGTAATAGTGGGTGACCTAATTGCTATATACCGGGCGCAATTCCAGACTCCGAGCTACAACTGAGAATTTTTTAAAACCTTAGTGATACTTTGCCCGACCACTCGGCCAACGACGCAGTCATATTTTTAACATGAAGTTTAAATGTAGACTAGTTTCACACTCGTTTTTTAAAAATTACTCAATGACACTAAATGTAATATTTATCACTGTATCGAGAAGCAATCGAAGTAGATAGGATATCTATATAATAACACTTTTATTGCATTTTTATATTTATATGGTTTAATGCAATTTGGGTTTTGAGAACTTATAAAACTTGCCAATAAAAGATAAAAAGTAGGAAAAAAAATACGTCATTTATTCACGTTTCATCGTTGTTGGTATAAACTGAAGTAAATCTATTATGATTGCTGTTGCTTTTTAGTTTGTCATCATTGTCTTCATTCTTTCACCCCAATAGTCCTTTGAACGTTCTATTAAGGACCCACCTTATCGAACATAGTACTGAGAATTTCTGAGAAAACTTAATTAAACTTTACTCTCAACCCTCAGTTGAATAGGAACATCTATATTTTGTTTGTAGTTATAACTCTCAAGCTATTTTTAACCTTATTATTACAGTTTGCCGACATCACATTTTGGGTCACTTTTCTCACTGACGCGAGCATCATCGCGCCTCCTCGAGTCTTCGACTACTTGCCGTACTGGTCTCAGCACTCCTTGCATACAGTTTCCATGGTAACCGTTATCATGGACTTACTCCTCACTCCTCGAAAGAGACCTGACAGTATGAAGCCTCGGTTGGGTTTGATGGTGGGCTTTGGAACTGCCTACACTCTTATGTAAGTATTGGTTTCTTGTAAAGGCATCATCGTCATCTTCATCACCCTATAAGTGGTCACTGCTGACTAAAGGCCTCTTCTCATACGTAGAAGGTTTGAGCATAAATCACCACGCTTGCTCAATGTAAAGGCAAAGATTCCTAAATCTGTCTGAGTGCAAAAAAAATATGGCAATGCTCACATGCTCTGCTCAGCTCTGCTCAGCTCCTATTGGTTGTAGCGGGATGTTTTATAGCCTATAGCCATCGTCGATAAATGCGCTATCCAACACAAAAAACAAACTCTTCCGCTTTATATAATAGTATAAGAGTATAAGATTTATTCAAAAAATCATTAATGGTTCGATACAGATATAATGTTGGTATAATATTATTTTAAAAAAGCAGAATCTTGTATCAACAATCCTGAGCTTCGACCCTAAGAACTATTTTACCATCAAACCAGTCAATCAAATCAATCTTTGTGCGTAAGTTAACACTAAGGTAGCTATTACCTTTTCTATACCACGACGGTTGCAAAAAGCACACGGCCCACCTGATGGTAAGCGGTTACCGTGGCCTATGTACATTTGCAACACTTAGAGCTGGCATGCGCCTTGCAGACCCTCGAAAAACTCCCTTCTTCTTCGTTTCTTTTCTTTCTCCCTTTACCTTTTTCTTTGCAGGGTGTATGTGAGCTTCCTCCAGGGCGAACCAGTGTACGGGTTTCTGTCAACTGCTAGTGATGCTATTGTTCTTTCAGTATACTTAATATTCCTTATACTATTAACAATTAGCTTTTATGTACAGTGGCATATAATTGATTATGTCTGGAGCCATAAAAGAAATAAAAATAAAATAAAGGTCGTAGATTAGGTATAGCTAAATTGTTAATTTAATTTGAAATGTTGTGTTTATCTATTAGGCGATGATGCTTATACTGTTTTTCGTATGGGAATGTCTTGACTTTCATTATATGATTAAACTCGCAGCCCGTCCCGGCTTCGCAAGGGTTAGACAATTATTTTCTTTTTTCAAAATTATATGTCGAATTGGAAGAATGTAGCATTCTATTGGTGAAATATTTTTTTAAATCGGCCCAGTACTTTTTGAGCCTATTCATTACAACCATGCAAACATACAAAAATAGGTACAAATCTTTCCTCTTTATAATATTAGTATAGATTACTAGTTAATTAAATGAAGTGTTAGTTTACACATATTTGATTTTGTTTTATTATAATTGAATTGTATTGTTTTTATTTGATTTTATTGATTTTTAAATGATTATTTTTTTATGGTTCATTTTGGGATTTGCGTATTATCAAAACCGTGTTCGACAAAATGTAAATTTGTTTATGAATAAATGGACATTTATTTAATTTCAATATATAAAAATGTACAGCCGGGACCTTTGGCGAGTGTCAGATTCAGGCAGAGGTGTCTTTACAGTGAAACTGAACTGTTTTTTTTATAAAAAGCGAGGTTGAGTGTTACAACATTCTAAACCCTGCATTCTCATATTCATACAATCCTAAAAAATGAAAATTATTAAAACAATAAAAATAACACCACGTAACCAAAATAAAAAGTTTATTGTTACAAAAAAGGCATATGTACAATAATTATCACCATTATATACTTAGTTCTAGCTACATATAAATTCAGTACAGCCTATAGGTATATAGTTCTAGACCTAGATACGAATAAATACCTAATTGAGCAACTAACATAGGCAAGTATACTAAGGCGCTGCGCAAACGAAGACACTTCCAGTAAACTTTCTTGTAAACTTTCGTAGTAGTCGTAGCAAGAACGATTTACAAAAATATAACACATACAATTTAGGGTATTGTTATTGAAGAGGATTTAACAAAATTATTATGTTGTTAATTAACTTAGGTAAACAGATATAGCTTAAATGTTTGCGTCTGATATCGAACTTGAAAGAGTCCACGTTTGCGCCCAGCCTAACACAAATATTTGTGTACAGCTCCTACAAACTGGTAGGTACGGAAACATGATAAATGACAATTTATCTAAAAGTAACCCTATACTTAATAACGAAGGCTTATTTCACATTGTAATTACAAGCAAACATTTCCCTAAAGAATGTTGTAGAGCTAAAAATGCAATGCTTGCAATTAAAATGTTATTAAGTTTTAAATTTGACGATCCCATATTATGACATTAAAACAAAATATTTTCTATTTCACGTCAAAATTTATCTTCAGTAAGTTTAATAGGAAAAGTAGCCTTCACAGCCTTGTCTTTTAAACAAGTAATATAAGTTGAGAAGATAAAAACTTACTTGCAACTCTTTGTACCACTTTATAAGGTTTAAAATAACTGAATGAAGTTTAGTTTGATTTAAAAGCATTTTGGACACTTATCACAGTTTTTTACCTTTGGACCCATCGTATAAGACTTATAGTGCTTATTTCTAGTACTCGAAAACACGGAATTTTTATAAAGTGATTGAGACTTTTAATGCTCAGCAAAAAAACATATTAAGTTTATTTATTTTAATACATCGTATATTCGTATTTGCAATTTTCTACTTAAAATCAGTTAATAAATAAATAAATGATTTATTAACATGAACACCAATATTATTAGAAAAAAAAATACAAATAATTTGCTACGAGTGCTACGAAATCTCAATTTTCGTAGACTTTCGTAGTAGTCATAGCAAAGTTACGATTTGCAACAATTTATCTAGGAGCTTCGTTTTCGGAAACGTAATAATATTTTTGTTTGATTTCAGCTACTATGATTTCTTACTGCGCTCAAGATATTATGTCTTAAACGCTTGTCTTTTATTAAAAAAGTATCTCTGAGCAAAAAGTCCCGATTTCACCGTTGAATATAAGAGGATAGTATTTAACATTCTACGATATGTTATCACAAATAAATTCAATCATTTCATTCAATTAAGTCGTATTCAATCACTTTCTACTATAACTAAATTTATTATTTGATTTTATAATAGGGTAGTTTACAAAATTTCTCTCAATCGTTATCACTCACTCCTAATAAACATAAGCAAAAATGTAATCAGTGGAATAACTTTAATTCATCACTATTAAAAGTAAATGACATGTTAAGGTAGGTACTTTCGATCCCTATTACACTTGCGCACTCAAGTTTGTTAAAATATTTCTTTCTACAATTGAAGGAAACTGCCCTATTATTAATCATTTCTTCTTCGCGAATAATGACTTACGAGTGAACCGTCTTTAGTCTACCTACAATTACAATTATTCACATTTATCGTACGGCATCCAGTTTCCACTTCAGTAGGACGAAGGCTGCAATCCTGAGGGTCACCACGAACACGGAGAGTGCCAACACATCCCACCAGAACTCATCAGGAGACATCGCCACCTCGTTTAAGAATGTACGGGGATGTCTGAAAATAACATAAAATAAAATAACATGACATAACATAACATCACGCCTTTTATCCCCGAAGGGGTAGGCAGAGGTGCACATTACGGCACTTAATGCTACTGTAACAAT